AAAGAGCCCTACTTCATCAGATGCATATACTCCAGACTGATTAAGGACCTAAATGCAAAAGTAAAATTTTAAGAGTATTGGAAGAAAATACAGAGTATGCTTATGACCTTAGAGTTACAGAAGGCTTTTTACAAATTATCACTGACTGTTTTAGACATACGAAAAGTTTAAAGACTACTTCTTTAATGACCATCCGTGTTCTCACCATAGCTTAAGAAATAAAACATTACAAACATAGTTGAAGCCAAATAAACAGTTCCTGCACTTCAGAAGTTCAAAGTTTAGAGAGGTAGAACATACACAGAGTACTAGAGGAACACACAGAATACCCAATTCAGAGAGGAACCAGAAGAGCCCAGCTATGAAATTAAGAGTAAAGGCTTTCTAGACAAAGAAAACAGAATACATATGAGCTATACAGCATCTTTGATTCTAACTGTCAAATGAAGATTACCAACAGCAAAATCCCAGCACACACCAGTCTACAAACCAGAGCAGTGCTATCTGAAACACAGCTCTGAGGAGTTTACTCTGTGTTAGGGGCTGGGGGTAGGGAATACACACAACAGAACATCCAAACAAAAACAGACTGTACGGAAGACAGATATGAAATGCACTACTCAGAAGTAATGATGAAACCGATCTACTTTAGGGCAAAGCATGAAACTGATTAGTTTGAGTAAAGAAAAAATAAAAATTTAGAGGCAGAATATTCAAATTTTAACAGGGCAAGGGATTTATCGTGCTGAAAGAAATGAAGCTCCTGCTCTGGATATGTACACATGCAGCTTTAAAACAATAATCTCTATTATAGCCACATTTCCATAGATGTAGATCTCCTATTCATGATTAAATAGCTAACTCATTTCTCATTAAATCTCACTAAGATATACTAGATAGACACAGAATAAAAAAAGAAACTGTAGCTATTGTGACAATATTATAAGTGCTTCTGAAGCATTTTACATTATTGACCATCTCTGCTTCTTGAATTTCTCCTATCTCCTGGCTTCTATGTAATCATATCAAGTGGTTGAATTCTTTGCTTTATCTACTTTACTATCTCCTTTACTGAATTCTCTGCTAGGTTTTACCTCCTGACTATGAACATACCCCAAAGTATCTGGCATCTACTATTCTTTTAAAATACCAACATCTTGAAAACATATGACTTCCACTATTACCTTCAAACAAAATAATTTCAAGAATTCTGGCTGGGACCTTTCTTTTAACTTCAGTTACATATCTTAGAAATTCTGCCTCTGACTCAAATAAATTTAACAGGTCTAAAAACCACACACACACACATACACAGGGTCACGCACACTATGTACATAAATGCACACGTTTTTTTCAATCACAGTACTTATCTTTTTCCCTCATCTAAAAATACTCACCCTTCTTGAATTGCCTAAGTCAACAGGGTCCATTGTTGTCTCTTACCTGTCTATTACATTAAGCTTTTCTCAGTTACAAATCTTATGCAGTCTTCTTTCATAATGTCTTTCCCATTTGTCTCCTCTTTTCTACCTAATTTAGGCATTGATCACCTCATTACTTACAACTGCCTTCCTGCTTCCAGTCTCTATCCTCCTTCCAAATCAGTCTGAACGTTATTGGTGGATGAATCTCTCTAAAACACTACTTTAAACTTGTCACTGTTTTTCTCAAAAGCTTTTTAAAGGGAGAATAATAATGCCAAGTATTTTAGCTATTTAAGAACCTAAAAATTTGGCTTCAGTGTGCCTGTCCAATCTATCTTCTCCAATACTTAAAGTCCATTCTAAAAAACACCCCTCTACTCAGACTTTTCCCCCAAGCTACTCCACCACTATACTTCTAGAGAATAGCAAGCAATCTGGTTTCCACTCTAATCATGCTGAAATTATTTTTGTAGTTTCCCAAATGCAAAGCAAATATTTAAGCTCTTCATTTTACTTGACCTCACCATGCCATTCACAATTTGATCTTACCTTTTGTTCCCTTACTAGCCACCCCTATGGACTCCAAGCTCAAGTCACAGCAAATGACTAGACTTTCTCTAACACACTTATTTCAGAGTCTGTGCTTCTCCATATGCTATTCCCTGCCTCTAGAATGTCTTTTCCTGGATTCTGCTTTACACTGTTTATAACTCAGATGGAAACATCATCTCTTCTGTGGAATTTCCCAACTCTCGCAAACATCTTTGCTCCCAATGCACTTGTATATAGTTCCCTAATAGGATTCATACCACTGTACTGTAATTGTTTATGTCTTGATATCCTCAGAATCCAACAGTCATGTTCAACATAACGACATTTCGGTCAACAACGGACTGCATATATGATGGTGGTCCCACAAGATTAGTACCATATAGCCTGTGTAGTAGGCTATACCATCTAGATTTGTGTAAGTACATTCTATGATGTTCGCACAATGATGAAATCGCCTAAGGACATATTTATTAAACCATATCCCTGTCGCTGAGGCACAATTAAGAGTGGGTTTTAAAAGACCCACTGGTATGGCCATATTATTCCAGTTACTGTCACTCAAGTATACTATACGAAGAGGCAGTATACGTATCATGGTTAAGAGCTTAGATTCTGAGGCCAGGCTGTCTAGATATGAATTTTGGATCTACCACTTATGAGTTGTGTGGCACTGGGAAAATTAATTAACCTCTCTGTGCCTTGGTTTCCCTCTTTGTAAAAGGAGGATAATAAGATCTGTTTTGTAATGTTATGAGGATCAAATGAGTTACTACAGGGAAAATGTATTAATGTATTTTACACCAGTCAGAGTAGTGACTGGCATAAAATAAGCATTACATATGTATTGGCTATTATAATTAACATACCTTGGTTATTTCCTACCCTTTCCACATAGACCTCTATTCGGAATGGGCTCCGTTCATTTTTCCCTTTACCCAGTCTTACCCAGGTTTCAAGGCTGATTTCTGGTAAATCCTTTAATCATTCCAACCCTTAAACGATCACTCCCTAATTTAAGTATCTATAGCATTTTCTCTAACATTCTGCATTTAATTAAGACTGCCTTGCATCCTTGTAATTTTTCACGTAACATTTGTCAACCCAATTTCTGCAAACCCTTCGTAGGTCCTGATGACATCTCGTGCATCTTTGTGAGTTCCTAGAGCCAGCAGTAAGTGCTTAGTATCTGTTGTGTAAAGTAATAAAGCTCAGCAGAAACATCAGCTTGATCATACTGCCTTTGCAATCAAAGAAATGGAGAAGACTGTGAGAACATTCCATGCTTCTTGGAGCCAAGATGCAAATGTATCAGGGCCAGGGAATTCTCGCACTAAAACGAAAAGCTCTGAAATAGCTTCTGGGGGGGGAAAAACCTTCCCTGTAGAGTAGTTATGGGGAGTCCTTTCGTTCCCAAACCACTCTGTAATAGTGTATCCTCTATGACAAATGTGTCAGCAGGACAAAACGATTGAGAGGACAGGATTTGGAATTACGCAGATGAAGGTTTCACAGGGACCCTTTGCCTCAGTTTCCTTCTCTCAAAGGTGGGTATTGTTATTTTAACACCTACTTTACAGGTATATACAATCACATTCACCCTAACATTTAACTGAAGCACAAATTCTCCTGGGAAAAATTTTAAAGAAACTGAAAACACTGCAATTCATAAATAAAAATGAGGACACTGAACACATTTTTCAGAAGAAAACATATTAAATTAGCTGGCAGCAGTAGTTATAATATTCCAAATCACCTATGAGAAAATTAAACACCTACAGTATTGTCAATTACACAGATTTGAGAAGGGGGGAAAATTCCACTACAAAAATTATCCTCTTTTTCTGACATTTTCTCCATCCCGTAATTTTTTTCTTTCACTTGTGATTAAAAACAAGTATTCAAAATTATCCCAGAAGAGAAATATTTGCAAAGCACAATTTAACTTAATACGAAGTTGGTTCTATAAATGTAGTATTCCAATTTAGAACCGAAATATACTTCCAAACAAGAATTAACAAGAACTTAAGAAATGAAGATAATGGCGAACAGCTCATATGATGATCTGAGTCAGTAATTTCAAATTAAGAGTTGTTCCAACTTGACGCTGGCGGTCATACAGTCTAAAGGGTTTGTTTACAGCACTGACTAAACCAAACACTCCAATCTTTTAGAAGATTCCTCCTGGCACTCCAACAATTAATTATTTTGAAGCAGTATAATTGCTGAAATGCCCAATACTACACAAATTAAACCGAAATGGATTTCCTCCTGAAGGAAAAAAGAACAAAAGCGACAAGTCTTATTTTGAACCTGTGATATTTTTTCAGTTTGGGGTTATGAATAAAATGCTGTCCGTCTACCAAAAAACAGAACTTTGCTGCTTGGCATAACCTTTAAGCTTGGGGGAGGGGGTGAAGTTCTAAAGACCTGGATTGGGAGCCTTTAGGATACAGCGGTCTGCGGGATTCATTAGGACCGGCACACAATAAAAGATCAAAAGAAGGAAACAGACGTTAGTTAAGAACGTTAATAAGTACGGTGAACTTTCGGCAATGTTGAAACGTTACAATTTAAGGATGAAAAGATGGCTTTGGGAAAAGGAAATTAACCTTCGGGGAGAAAATGAAGAGTCCAGCGCGGGGCTAGTGGAATTTAAGGGGAGACGGAAAGAAGATTGTGGAAAAAGCAGGGATTTGGTAACCAAAAAGGAGTATGATCCAGAAGGTAGTCTTGGGGCGGGGGCGTGTGTGCGTGGTGTGTTGGAGGTAAGGTTTGTACCTAAGGTCGAGAAACGAGGTGACAAAGTTGGGGAAATCAAATTCGGAGGTGTGGGAACCGGGAGAGGAAGGAATGCGGGAATTTCCAGGCTGGGGCGAATAAGCCCGGGCCGTGCGCGGTGTCGGGGCGCCCCTCTCCCGGGAACGGGGGCCCCCGCGAGGGCCCCCAGTTCCCGGCCGGTCGGCCCCGACCGAGCCCTTACCCTTCCGCTACATGGCCCTCCGCCCCAGCCCGGCCCCTCCTCACCTCAGGCCGCGGCGCCTCGCTCCTCCACGTCTCCACAGCGCACGTCCCCCTCAGCGCCAGGCCGGGCTGGGCCCGTAGGCCGGCCGGCCGCGGCCCCCAGCTCAGCGGCGCCCGAGCGTTCTCCTCGCGGCTCCGCGGGCCTCTCGGTTCTTCGCCCCGGCTCGGGCTGGCTCCAGGCTCCTTCCCGCAGACGCGGCACGCAAGCCTCCTCCCACCGCGGGGCGATCTGCCCCCCTGAGCCCGCCCCGCGGCGCCCTCGGCGCGCCCCGCCCACGGGCTTGGGGCCTGCACGCCCATTGGCCCCCGCGAGACCCGGCACGCCCGGGCATTGGCCCAGCGGCCACCCGTCGGCGAGGGGGCGGGACGCTAGGCGGCTGCGATTCCCGTAACGCGGCTCCCGGCGTCCCGGATTCCGGTGGCAGCGCCCGCGTCGCCTCTCCCAGACGAGATCGAAGGGTTCCCCCCACCTCCTCTCTGCGGGCGGAAGGAGCGGAATGTTCCATTTTCCCGTGGAATAACGGGGTCGTGAACTGAAGGTCGGGTTCTGCCCGCGCCGGCCGCCCTGCCTTCTCGCCGCGGCTCCTTCGGCCTCCCTTGGCGACCTTCCGCGAGGGACTCAGAGCCGCGAGGGACCGCCGGGCACCCTTGGGGACAGAGAAGGCGTGGGACCTCCTCGGGAAGAGTGAAGGGCTCGGTGGTCGTGACTCCACAGGAGATCACCGCAGATTGTGGCAGTGGAGGCTTCGGTCCAAGTCTTATGTAAACGGACCTTACTTAATACTATATATATTTTTAAGTTAGTAAATGAGTTTGGGTGTGATTTATCATTGAACCCCAGAGCTGGTGACGCGCCAAGAAACTAGTTTTTCTTTGCGGGTTGTACCTTCCAATCTGTGATAAAAATACCGAGTAAAAACCAATTTCATTACATTCTCCTACCCCCAGCCTGTAAAAGGGCCCTTCAGGCTCACTTTGATGTATTTTTTTCCCAAAACAAGATGAGAAGCTTAAAAGATAAGGGGGGGGGGGGGGGGGGGGTGTGTGTGTGTGTGTGTATAAAGAAGCACACCCGAGGCCGGGGCCTTTTGTGGAAGAATGGCAGGCTATAGGAGGAGAATAATGGTTTAATGGGCTTGGACAAATTATACCCATAAATTAACAGACAATTATAAGGTTCTTCATTATATTGAGGATTCAGATAGAGTGAAACATAAACCAAATTATGATGTCTTAGTTGTTGACCAGATAATTCTTAAAAGACACGGAAAAGTGGGCCTGCTATGTGTCATGCTAAAGAAGTCCCAGGCAAGCTTGGGGATGGTGCTGCAGGGGAGACAAGGCTCCGTTGCATTCAGCTCTTGCTGCTCCCTGTCATCCTATATCTAACCTACAGAGTGTGACTGGATCGTGTTCTAGTTTGGCCATTTATATAGATGTTTATTTTAAAACAAACTTTGAGGGGCCGCCCAGTGGCAGAGTGGTTAAATTCACGCGCTCCAGCGGCCCCGGGTTTTGCGACTTCGCATCGTGGGTGCAGACCTAGCACTGCTCATCAAGCCATGCTGAGGCGGTGTCCCACAGAACCAGGAGGACCTACAACTAGAATATACAACTATGTAATGGAGGGCTTGGGGGAGAAGAAGAAAGAAAAGATTGGCAACAGATGTTAGCTCAGGTGCCAATCTTAAAAACAAAAAACTTTTGAAGGATTTTGTTAAATTAAAAAATTTATTTAGATCTAGTGAACATTTATTCAGCGCAATGTATAGTGGTTGTATACTTTTTGGTTCCAAATTGCCTGTATTTGAATCCTGGTGCTACTAATGCCTCTGTCTGTGACCTTGGGCAGCAATGTACCAAGCTAATAGGATTGCTGCAAGAGTTAAATGAGTTAAAATACATGAAGTGCTTGGCACATAGGTGCTCCGTAAATGTCAGCTCTTATCATTATTGAATGTCCACTATGTCAGTGCTTCCCAAACCTTTTGCATCACAGCATATATTGAAAATGATGCTATTTCAGTGGCATGGAGTAGACAGAAGGAATCACTCTCTCACAGCACACTAGGCTGCCTTGCACACTGGTCAGGAAAGCAAGGGACTGAATGAGCCCTTTTGTGGATATCTTAGTGTTGGCTTAGCCTGGCCCTAACCCCTAAGAAACTCACAATTTGTGGGAGTGGTTAAAGTCCTAGGCTAAAAGAATGAGTCAATATTGGAGAAAGATTTTTCAGAACAGCAAGAGCCCTTCTCCCCTCAGCTAGAATTACATGACTTTACAGATACCTCTGTAGGGTATTGGCCCTGAAATGATCACTTTCAAGTTAAGGATTTGTCATTAGAAAGCCCTGTCAAAAGGTAAAGATAAGTGAGGAAAAGTGACATACCAATCGAGAACTTTCCATTTATACCTTGGGACCATTTGAGAATTTAGATATGTCAAAAGCAGAGGGTGGGGAACTTGTACTGTGAGAGGGCAACATGAGGACGCTGAGGTTACTTGAGAGTAGGTGAACAAAGCTAGGAAAAAATGCTACAGAAGCAAGGTGATAAATGTTGAAGACAAACTTTGCCTGCCTTGCATTCTATTTAAATCTGGCCCTGACCAGGAAGTACGTGGATAGCCATTTACTTCCTTGCCTGTGCCCAGTTGTGTTTCTGAAACTCTGTGTCAGCGTTGGAACTATCTCCATATCCTGCATCAACCTGATGACTTCAGCATCCATTATAATGACTCAATTAGCACCCTGACCTCACAATTTCTCATCCTTCTCTTTTCAAATGATCTTCATCTTCACTCTTTATCAGAAACCCACAGGTGTAACCATAGCTTGAATTAAGTCATCAGATGAAATTACTCCACCTGCAAAATTTTGGATTGTGAATTTCCCTCTCTGCCCAGAGCTACCTTATCTTCTATCTCTCTCACTCCTCCCATTGAGTCTGCAGTTTGTCCTCAATATGACCTCCAATCTTTGTTCTCAGAGTTTATCAGTTATTTCCTATCTTCTCTTCTCTTCCTAAACTGTGAGAACATATTATCAACCATTTTGCTGCACTCTCACGAGTAACTTCAATTCCCTTGACCTTCAGCCATGTTGTCAGTGCTGTTTCCTATTTCCCTTTTCCTTAAACTACCAGCCCCACCCCAACATTTATTCTTAGTACAGAACCTTGTTTCATTATTCCCTGGAAAAACCAAGACCATCCTTTTTAAGCATCCTTAACTTTTCTCCAATTTAGGAGGTAACTATATATTTAGCCTTTTCCTCTTTTCGCATTGCCTAACAGGAAGAACGACCCATATCCTTGGAAAAGATTTCCTCTTTCTATGTTCTTGGTCCTACTCCTACCAAGTTCAATCTCCTAGTTTTATATTTTTCATGATTCGCATAAAATACCTTGGAAAATTTTAAAAATTAAATACTAACTCAATGGTGAGTGGAGGACAGCTTTTCTATATATGTTGAAACCTTTGTAAAATAATAGCATTTAATTCACCAAATAGAATTAAAAGTAGTTAATTCAAATACGTCTCAAAAATGAAGCAGTTTAAACCACATCGTAATCCATTTAATAAAATAAGTTTGAGATGAAATATGAACTTAAATCGAATTGTAACTAAATATCCAAGCTAGAAAACAGGAAAACTTCATTTCATAGCAACAAAACTAAGCAAGATTATGACTCTATTTTGAAAATTTTACTGAAGAATAATATATATTCAAAAAATGAGCATACTGTAAGAGTCTAACTTAAAAATTTTTCACGAACTGGACACAGCCATGTGGCTTGTATCTAGATCAAGAAACAGAACATGACCATCTCCCAAAAGGCCCCTCCTCCTCCCTTCTAGTTATTGGAAGCCCACTGGTGACCACTGTGCTGATTTCTAACACCATAGTTTTATGGCTATTGTTTTAAAATTGAGAAGTTAGCAGAAACTTCTTAATGTTATTAGTATTTGCTTATTTTATTTCATTTTAATGAATTTAGTAGAGCAAGAGAGTTTAAAATGAAATAAGTACTAGGGGCTGGCCCCGTGGCCGAGTGGTTAAGTTTGCGCGCTCTGCTGCAGGCGGCCCAGTGTTTCATTGGTTCAAATCCTGGGCACGGACATGGCACTGCTCATCAAACCACGCTGAGGCAGCGTCCCACATGCCACAACTAGAACAACCCACAACTAGAACGACCCACAACGAAGAATATACAACTATGTACTGGGGGGCTTTGGGGAGAAAACAAACAAACAAAAATCTTTAAAAAAAAAACAGTAAAAAAGAATGAAATAAGTACTGCTTTGTATAAAGGTTAAGCACAGATGTAAATTGAACCAGAGGGAATCTAGCTTCTCATTACCCCAGACCTCGGGGAAACCCTGTGAGATGGCCCTGAGCTGGTCAATGTTCTTGTGTTACCCTCTTTCAGAGGGAGCTTGGATTCAGAGAAAGAAAGGCCAGTGCAGAAGTGTGAGCAGCAGTTAGATGTATCCTATTCCCGGATACATACATAGGGTAAGGAAATCAAGTATTGTGACTGCAGATTTGGAATGGCCCACACTAGCTTCAGAACACCATCCTGAGGAGTTTGAGCATATGTTGCTTTTGTTAACTCTGACAAAACTTGTGCAGAAGCAAGGGCTTTCCTTTGTTGACCCTTGTTTGAAAGACTGCTCTTCAGTTACAAAATAGATTCCTTGGCTCCAAGTCTGATACTTACACTAAAACCAGATAGGTGAGACAGTACCAATATGAATTTTTTAAAAATATATTTATTTTTTATTCTTGTATGGCCAAGAATTCCCAGATCCTTGCCTAGGATTTGGATAAAGACATAGTACTAGTTGTATTAAATAATGGCTAGGTAACTGTGTGTCTGTCTCCTCAAGGGAAAGATGGCAGTGCCTACTGAAAAGGCAAAATTAAATGAACATGCTTGTTGAGATAGCTGGAATTTTCTGAAAATTGTCCTCTCTGATTTCTCTTTAGAATTTTAGGGGTTGATCATTTTCCATGATCAACAAATAACAAATGGAGTTTAGTGTCAGAGTCAAATGAAATTGAAAACAAAGCTAATCTAGCTCATATTTCAAATTATGAGAATTATTATTTTGCGGTAAGCAGGCACGAAAGACCAACTCTTAGGGTGAACTCTGTCACCTCTCTCTTCCTGGTATTCTTTGTGTGATTTCCTTCCCATGAATGTGAAAGTATGTACTTGACTATGTTACA